AAATGTCAATACTTTTCTGGTATTTCATAATCTAGCCTTTTCAGTGTTCCCCACACAAATCTACTAACATCCATCAGCTTTGAAAAATTGGCCAAAATTATAGTTGAACTGAATCTGGCTGGATTGTTGGCCATGATGCAGTTTTGCTCTGATTTTTTTTTTAAAAAAAAATTTATTATAAAATCAAATCATAAATATCTTCGTAAAAACAGTAAACAAAACAAAATTATAAATCTTGAGTCTTGCAGATGGATACACATGTTTACGTACCATGGTAATGTAATCAGATCAGAGACGCATATTAAATTAACCGACATTAATTACGATAACCTTGATGTGATCGAGTCAAAATCAGAATTAGCTACCTAATCTACATGTCCATGATTATCTTAATTTGGTCATAACGAAATGATTTAAGTTCATTAATTGCAACAATATTGAATACGACAGCTATAATAGAAAAGCCGAGTCCTTTAAATAAAGGAGTAAGAGTATCTCAAAGACAAGCTCTAAATTTTTGTTAAACAAGCAAGTGAAAAGTGTCAAAAAAACTATTTTAATTACTCAGTTTAACTTTTCATTTTCAACAATATTTTCTATTTAACAAAGTTTAAATAATTTACTAATTATTATCAATTCAAATTCAACCCGTTCATTTTTTAAATCGTTCTCTCCCTTCCTGTCAGTGCCGGATTGAAGGGGAGGAATATAAGACATTGCACAAGGTCCCCAACTAAAAAAAGGCGCCCCGATGTTTTTGCACCCCATGGAAATATTATACAATATATAATTTCTTCAATAACAAAATAAATATAATATAGCCTAATAGAGAAAAGAATAATAGATTATTTCTCTCTCATAAGTTCATAATTCATATTAATACTGCTCTTAAGTAAATCTCCAAAGATCATTCAATTACTTGGATTGATGGGCTAACAATTCCATTCATGTAAGGATTTAACATATTTATAATACGATTGTTGATTGAATTGGCATAGTAAATTTAGGTGTTTTATGTTTTATGGCTATTATGAATTTGACTTGAGCGTTTCTTAATTGATCATGAGTTTTAGTTTTAAAGTTTGTATTAGTTTTAATAATAGATTTGTTTATTGGCAGGTGATTTTCACACATCATTTTTAACTTCTCAAACATATTTTTTATTTATTTTTTTGACCATCGCATTGTATAAATCAAACAAAAATAATGAACAAGATTAAATATAAGTGTTGATCGAGGCTAAAAAGGATGTATGCTTATCATTTTCCTTATACAATGTCTAAAACAAAAATTAATACTTTTTTTTTAAATATTAATATTTTCTTAAAAGCCCCATTAGGCATTACTTATAAATTTAAAGAGCAACTTGCTATTATATAGAGTCCTTTATCAAGTCTCTTGGAGAAGAATTTAGTAGATTTGACTCTTAAAATAAAGTTTTAGTGGTTTTGCAACTTTTCTTGAATAGTGCCATATGACTCTATCCTTACACCCTGCTAAACTTATTGGTAAACCAAGAATAAGATTGCCCTCCTCCTCCTCAAAACACCGCGGAATCAAGTCTACCTTCCAAACCCACACCTAAATATATGATTTTTTTTTTCAACCCCACCCCACCCCACCAGGCCTCGAACCTGGGACCTAATCTACCCCAACCCCTTACCCCACACCTAAATATATGATGATTTATAAGTGAGAATGATAAAGTCTCCATCCTTACACCCCGCTAAACTTATTTGTAGCTAGTGAAATTCGACCTAATAAACAAAGGAGAATGAGTTATTTGCATTATTCTTGACACTATTGTAATGTCTATAATTAATACCATTGTCTCAAATTAATAATACAATGGTATTGTGCAATTTTTCTTATAATATTAGTGAGAATGATAAAGTCTCCATTCAATCTCAGTTCTTCGCGGAATAGGCCAGAGCTTTGGGAAAAAAAAGCCCCCAAAGTCTCAATATAGCACTTAAAATATCGAAAAAGAAAACAAAAAAGAGGACAATTATTGAACTAACTTCACTTTCTACAATCCTTTTCTAGGTGAAGGTACATTTTTGGTCGACACTAGGCCAAATGGGGCAAATACTATCTGCTCATAATTTTTATTACTTAATATGCCCTTCAAAATTCAGTTATTACAACAACTAAATTTCTTTCACTACTACTGTAACTTTTATTTTCCCCGAGTGTTATTTTTTATATCAATGTCACGAGGTGGCTCGAGAAAATGAGAGAATGGGTGTGCTATTGTTGGAGGCTGTCAACAGACAATCTTTGTATTTGGATGTGTGTGAAAGTTGCGCAAAGATCTGACTTCTTAACCAATTGTTGTGCATTGAATGAGACGCTAGTTCGTTTAAGTTTTTTTCTATGCCTTGAGTGAATGAGGACTTAAAATTCAATGTAACTTTTTTGTGTTTTTGCCTAAAACATGAAAAAGGAAAATGGAAAATAATGTGATGAACAAAATGTAATTATTTCATAATGAAGTCAACATTACAAGCATTATATAAAAGTAAAATCTTGGCCGATGGGCCGAGCTACATGACTTGAAATGAAAATTGAGTAAAATTGTAAAGAAAGCTGTAAAAACTCTTACAAGATTTAGGCCATGAAGGGATAGATAATGCTAGAGGAGTCCACTGAGGTCTCTGGTATCAAATTGGACTTAGTCCAAAACATGTGCCTCTAAGAGGAAATCAGGGTGGTTGGATTGACACATCAACCGAATCATACCACGGGTTGGAAAAGCTGTAAAAGTTTAAGATCTCAGGGACATAGGCAATGTTTGCTTTTAACGAAGGCTTTGTGATTGTAGTTGAAGAGCAATTGGATTGTACTTTGAAAGAAGTTGGGTTGATTGAAGAATCAATCGAGGTTTTATATAATTGTAGAGATTGGATCAGACGAAGGTCCTAAGTTTGAAGGTTTCCCACTCTATTTATAGGCAATGAAGCAAGAGCAACCTCGATCTCATGGCTAAGATGGAGCATGGGTAGATCGGTGAGTTGACATTGACTATAATTTCTGGTTGGTGGCCTTAAACTGTATTTCATGGCCGTTTTCATAATTGCAATGGTGACATTAGCATGTTAGATGATGCGTACATCAACATTTAAGGAGGCGAGATATTCCCGGGTCTGGTCATCTGCGTGGTGGACGCACTTCATAGAGAGATCTACCCAAGCCCTCGAATAGCTAGGAGGGGGACAAAAAGGTCGCCCAAGCTTTGTGATATGATCTTGAATTAGGCTTTGAAGTTGGTGGGCCTGAGTCGTGCAACTTTCTGTAAATAAAAGTAGATTGACCCCATAACATGCTTATTTTTATTTAGGCTCAAATATGATTTTCATGAATGATGAATTCGATACTAAATTATTGTTGGTATGATCCATTGTGTGTGATTAAGTCAACTTTCATCCCTAATATATGAAGGGAAAAAATTAAATTTCTCAGATCTCATCCCCAAAAAGTTTTGAGTATTGTTTTTTTATTTTATTTAACCCAAATTAAAAAATTCTAACGCATACTTGACAGTTGACAACCAAACCAAAAGGACGAATATATTTGCTTTGTTTGGTAATTGGTATAAGCAAATCAAACCATTTTCCGTAGCGCAAATCATCGACCTCTGCCATTAAGTGTAAGTGGCTACGTACTCAATTTGCATGACAGTCAACGTCGGTAACTCGAAACCCTACACACAATCATAATTCATGACCACCGTTGCATCCATTGGAAGGTTTGTCCACTCATTTGCATATGAGCGACGTAATTGTCTTTCCTCATCACTTACTCACTCCACCATGTTATGATTTAATGAAAGAGAGATTATATTCACACACCCCAAATTACTTGCCCCACACTCTTTTAATTTTTTTAATATTTTTTCTTTCAAGTGTTAGTGGTGTGTAGAAAATATTAAAAAATTAGAAAGGTGTGACATAAGTAATTTGAAGTGTGTGAATATAATCTCTCTTAATAAAATTGTTAACTACAAGTTTGTTCGGTTGCATTAGTTTAAAGGACAAGTGTCAACGTATTTTATAGTCAAATTTCCACACTAAGAATACATAACTAAAATCCATAATCCATAAATTTGATTGAGACCTACAGTTTCTTGATAAAAATGAAAAAAGAAAAAGAGTTTGGATAACATAAAGAAAGGAAAGAGCTCTGTCGTCACCTAAAACACTAATCTCAAACCCTAGCTTGTTGAGATCCTATTTAGGTTAAAACTTAAAATGTTGCTTTAACCTAGTAATGATAGTCAATCAGCAATGACCAAGTGAGTTAGACTTCTTGTGGTTCATTGTAGAATTTGAACAATCTTTCTACTAGTGAGAATTTTTTGGGGTTTCGATAATCCTTTTGATTTTTTATCCATGATGGTCTACCGGAAGACAATTGTATATATAGTGTAGTGAACTAAGTTTTATCAATAAGATTACCACTTTAACTTTTTTTCCCAGCAACGGATAAATAATAGACAACATTAACTTTTAGAAAAAGTATTTGACATTTATGTTGAAAAAGTAATCACAAATTTAAGCCATGAAATATGGAAAACAAATTGAAAAAAAATAGATCACTTAATTGAAGAAAATAATACAATACTAAGATGATTTGCCAAAATAGATCACTTAGTATGCATTTGAACAATTCATAGTCTTCTTTATTTTGTGTTTATGAAATATTAAGAATAAGAATTTGCAAATAGTTTTTCTTCTTTCTCATCCTTTGATTTGTTAACACTGCTCGCATATATTATTACCAAGAAATTTAGAGTGATGTTAAGGACGATGCGACATATTTACACCACATTATTACCATATAATGTAAGCAAGTCAATTACTATTCAATGAGATAAACTCATTAATTGACGTGACATTACTTGTGAGAATAAATGGTACACCAATGTGATATACGTGGTTTTTATAACATTATTAGGAAACTTTAATTAAGAGAGTAAAACATATCAGATATATGAGAAATTAAGTAAAATTTGGGGAATGTATTTATTTTATTATTATGATGATCACCTCTCCATTAGAAGGTTGAAACAAACAACATACATATACCATCTCTTTTGAGAAACAGGAAATAAAATACATGGAACATGAGTGCCCTACAACTGTCTAATATTCCAAGGAAAATATGAACCTCTATCGAATATCGCATACATAAAACACGTCACATCAGCAGCTGCGTGGAGACTCGTTTTTTTCTCTCTCTTCTTCTTTGTGTGGTAATAAGGCGCGCTGTTCGACTTCAACAGCCCCTCTTTATTCTGACCTTTCTTCTTCCCTTACCTGCAAAGACATATTATTGTTATTTGTTGGGTCTCTGCCATTGGTCTATTTGTTACACACGGCTACTGAATTTAAAGAAAAAGAAATATTAATTGAGTAATAAGTTAATAACGATATGTTGGAAATACATTATCCATATGCTAATAAGGATTATTAGCCAAAAATGGAAATAAAGACTATTCAATTAGAATTTATATGTTATTTCGTCAGAGTGTGCATTTGGTTGTATGGTGATTTCCAAATTGACAACAGTAGTACTAACTAATTAATGAATAATAGCATAGAATGGAGAAGCTTACCAGCTTGATGCAATTAAACTTTCAATATCTAGTAGTGGTGAGGAGGTGGGGGTGAGGAATAGATGTAACCGTGTGGTGGGTGAACTGCTGGAGGAGTTGGTGGCTTGTAAGGTTTCTTAGGTGGTGGTGGTGGTGAGTAAACTGGTGGTGGAGGAGACTTGTAGACTGGAGGGGGTGGTGGGGGAGACTTGTAGTGGTAAGGTTTCTTGGGTGGAGATGGTGTGGGAACTGGAGGAGGTGGTGGTGGTGGAGACTTGTAGTGGTAAGGCTTCTTGGGGTGGTGGTGGTGGTGACTTGTAGTGGTAGGGGTGCTTAGGTGGTGAGTATTTAGGGGGAGTAGGAGAAGGAGGTGGTGGGGACTTGTAATGGTAAGGCTTCTTTGGTGGTGGTGGTGGAGACTTGTAGTGGTAGGGGTGCTTAGGTGGTGAGTATTTAGGAGGAGTAGGAGAAGGTGGTGGTGGGGATTTGTAGTGGTAAGGCTTCTTAGGTGGAGGTGGTGAGTGAACAGGGTAATAAGGCTTCTTGTGTGGTGGTGGTGGTGGTGGGGATTTGTAATGGTAGGGCTTCTTTGGTGGTGGGGTTGAGTGCACTGGTGGAGCTGGTGAATATTCTGGCGGGGGAGGAGATTTGTAATGGTAAGGCTTTTTTGGTGGTGGGTGTGAGTGCACTGGTGGAGGTGGTGAGTACACCGGTGGGGGAGGAGACATGTAGTGGTAAGGCTTCTTTGGTGGTGGTGGAGGAGACTTGTAATAGTAAGGTTTCTTGGGTGGTGGTGGTGGAGATTTGTAGTGGTAAGGCTCCTTGGGTGGTGGTGGTGAGTGAACTGGAGGAGGAGGTGGTGGGGGAGATTTGTAGTGGTAGGGCTTCTTGGGTGGTGGTGGTGGGGACTTGTAGTGGTATGGCTCCTTAGGTGGGGGTGGTGAGTGCACTGGAGCAGGAGGTGGTGGTGGGGATTTGTAGTGGTAAGGCTTTGGTGATGGTGGTGGTGACTTGGGGTGGTAGGGATGCTTAGGTGGTGGGTACACAGGAGGTGGTGGTGACTTAGGGTGGTAGGGATGCTTAGGTGGTGCGTACACAGGAGGTGGTGGTGACTTAGGGTGGTAGGGATGCTTAGGTGGTGAGTAGTGCACTGGAGGAGAAGGAGAAGGAGGCGGTGGTGACTTGTAATGGTAGGGAGGAGAGGCCGGTGGTGGTGGAGAGGTGTAAGGGTAGTTAGCTGAAGTTTCTGAAGGCAATGTGAGAGAGACTATTGCCACTAGGAGAGTGACCACAAGAGAGGTCACTTGTGAAGGCACCATTTTTCCCATCCTTCGTTAAGAATGGGTTTTTGGTTGTCTGCCTCTGAAGCTAAGCCTCCTCACCCTTTATATAGCTTTGGTTTTTACCCTTCACAATGGTACTCATGCCAAATTTTCACTTGGCAATTATTAATTATCTTAGTAAAAAAACAATATTACTGTTAAAATAATGCTAATGGGGCCAGACTATTTGTCATAGATTATCAATTAATGTTTGGACCAATGCGGCCTTTGACCGAATTTTGTTAATTTATGCCCTTCTCCTTTTTATTTTTATTTTTATATCTTGTTTCATGGAATAGAAGGTTCATTGTAAACATAGTTAATAATAAATAAATACATAGATATGATTTTTACACTCTATTACTGCGCAGTAAAAGATTGTAAAAATATCTGAAAATATTAAAAAATAAAAATAAACAAGAGCTTGTAAAAACATTAACCATTTCCCTGAACGTATCACCTAAAGGGCTAAGGGTGTGACCATCTTTACTTTAATAAGGCTTTGTTTAATGCAATAAGAGCTACGTAGCAGAAAAGTTAAAGCAAGAGATCGAACTTTATTTCTAGGTTAATAATTTAAGCAGTATGTCCTCCCTGAATTTGTTATCAAATATTTTTCATGATCGACATCTTTGAAAAATGTGTGTAGTTACCTAACTTTCTATGATTCTTCCCGTACATAGGGACCAGCCGGCTGCGAAATACTCTCTCTCTCTCTCTCTCTCTCTCTTAACCCAAACTTTACTACGTAGTCTGTCACATTCACATTTTGCATAGCTTTTTAACTAATTTACTCGAATATCCGACTCGGAAGGTTTAAGATACAAATATTAAGTGCCCATTTGCCTTAATAATACAGTTTTTTAATTAATTATTCATTTCCAAATATGAATAATCTTTCATTATGCGGTGATGCGGTGAATGCTAACTGGCTAGATTTGTCTTACTTGTTGTTCCAAACAATAACAACACATTAAGAAGGAAAAAATAATGAAAGCAAATAAATAAAAGATGCTTAAATGCATAATTAAGCATGTTTAACTGGACTTAAATCACATTATTCTGATCACCGCAAGAATGAGAAAATGCTCCCCAAGTTTGAACTAGACAATGAATAAACAAATCCGCTTTACTTTACTGAACATGCATGGTGAGCTGTTCAGATAATATTAATTATTTTTTTGTACAATCATCTGTAGTCAATTATTTTCCAAAGAGTAGTAGTAGATAGATAGGGATGGCCTTCAACGAGTGAAGATCTGCATCCTCAACAGATCTAGGTCCTCATACAAATGCACAACCATTAATTTGACGAATAACAAGAATGAAGAATTTTTTAATGTAATATTCACCCTATGACATGCGATGTAATTAACTTATTCATTCATCCACATAATAATGCATAAAATGTAACACATGATCGTACAATACAAAAACCACTATTACCATGAGAACAGCACAAACTAATAATTTTTTCTTTCACCCTTTCCTTTAGTAGTTTTTTAGGATTAATATTAGTTTATTATCTTAAAGTTTTTTTGTTTTCAATATTTGGTAAATAAAGTTTTTTTCATCTCAGAGTGGTACATAAAGTTATAATTTTGGAACAATTTTATACATTCATTAAGGTTGCCTTTAAATTTACTGTTAACTAATGATGTGTTATCCACGTGGACAATGACATGATGACACGTGCATATTAAAAAATAAAATAATAAAAACTAAAAAAATTAAATAAATAAAAAAATTTGGGCATCTTCTTCCTCACCCCTTCCGACCCCACTCCCGTTCTCTCCTTTGCACCCACCTTTCCCCTTCCCTCCGTCGATCGGTGTCTCTGCCGTTTTCCGATCGTCTCGTTCGACACCGAATTTCCGGGGTTCCTCCGCAACACCCCCAGAGGCACTTCCAAGGGCCTCCGTTACCAAGATATCGCCCTTAATGTCGATTCTCTCAATCTCATCCAAGTGGGTATCACCCTGTTCGACGACCGCGGCAACGTCGGCGGCACCTGGGAGTTCAACTTTCGGGGTTTTGACGAGGAAACCGACCCCCATGTTCCAGAATCCATTGCCCTCCTCAAAGCGAATGGCTTGGATCTCGAGAAATTTGGGAAGTTCGGCATTGATTCGGATATTTTTGTGGAGGGTTTCGTTGAGATTTTAAGGGTGCACAGGGGGCAGCTCGTATGGGTGAGCTTCCACGGCCTCTACGACTCGGCCTATGTAATGAAGCTGGTGACGAGGAAGACCATCCTCAGCTCCCCCACTGAGTTCGCAAAGATGGCAGGTCGTTTGTTCGAGAGGGTCTACGACTTGAAGTTTATGGCCAAGTACTGCCCGGGCCTATTTGGGGGCGAAATTGGGCTTGAAAGGATGGCAACAATCCTCGGAGTGCAGCGTTGGGTGGAGTCGAAGAGGGAGGGGGAAGCGTGGGTGCAGAGGAGAGAAGGGAGGGGGGTCAGAAGGGGTGAGGGTGAAGACGCCCAATTTTTTTTTTTTTTTAATTTTTATTATTTTATTAATTTAATTTTTAATTTTTAATATCTACGTGTCATTGTCAACATAAATGTCATATCATCAGTTAATGATAAATTTAACAGCAACCTTAATGGATGTATGAAAGTATCCCAAAATTATAACTTTATGTACAACTCTAGAATAAAAAAAACTTTATATACCAAATATTGAAAACTAAGAAACTTTAGAATAATAAATTAAGATTAACCTTTTTTATGTCTTTTAGCTACTAGTACACCATGCTTTTTCTTTTGTGAGGGTTATATAGTATATTTAAACCAAAAGTTGATGCCAAATAGAAAATAAAATTTAAACAAAAAGTTAATTCTGGTACTATTTATTTTACCTTTCATTTTGTACGTATCATTAAAATTCAAAGTTTTTAAATCATTTTCTTTAGCTTTTCTAATATAAAAATGTTTGAAATAATGAAAATAAAAATTCATAATTACTCGTCAATATTTTTTCGATGTGCAATAATTATTTAACCAATATGTCGCAGTTAATACATTTTAATATTTTAGCAATTGTGATTTGTTAATCCTCATTCAATCAAATTTCTCAAATCAATATGAACAACTAATTAACGTCGGTCAGGCCCAACACGTATATCTTTTACAATCATAGGTTCCGTGATCCTTTGGCAAGTACTTGTCAATGTGATTTTGGTCAAAATCTTTGTTATCCACATCTTTTAGGTGCAAATAGGAGTGTTAGGTGAAGACTGAACGTAGCTACGTACTTCCTTTTTAGCACACAGATATCACTAGAAGAACATAATTTTGCTTTTGACTGCCTGTCAAGATTTCTCTGTATAAAACAAAAGGAAAGGGTAACCATGCAGTATATTTAAGAATTCAAAGTACCTATTGCACGTTCTTATGACGATTATTGTGTATGAATTTTTAAACAAAATTTTGACAGTCAGCTTTCATGTTGTAGCTTTCATGGTAGCTGGCTGGACTGTTAAAAATGGGTTAAATTAAAACGTTTTTGGTCGCTGTGTGTATTTCTAAAATTTATTTTGGTCATTGTGTTTTATTTTCTGCCAAATTGGTCACTGCGTTACCATAAGTCAACCGCCAAAAAAATGCACGTGACAGTTTCGTGCAGGGGCAAAGATATATTTTCACTTACATAGTTACCCCTGCACTTGCATGTCATGTGCGTTTTTTTTAACGTTTGATTGAGAAGGACTAAGATTGCTAACTTGTGATAACACAGTAACTAAATTAGCAGAAAATAAAATACAGTGACCAAAATAAATTTTAAACATAAACACAATGACCAAAAAAGTTTTTAACTGTTCAAAAACATAAACACCAATCTAAAATAATAAATATTTTTGGCTCCTAATCATCTTTTTGAATCACTACTATTTCTCTCATATCTTGACAAAGCATCCATATAAATATATAAAATTCCAATTATAATGGGAGTAAGTAAGATTTAGAAAAACAAAAGTAGAGACGCACTGGAATTTCCAAAGAAAAAATAAAATTGAGCTGGGCAGGTTAGTTGGCATGTGATTTGAGACAAATCTAAATCTAGAAGCTTGTAAGATTGGAAGGAGGTGGAGAGCTGAGTTAAGTACCAAGAAAGTGGAGTAGCATTTTGGTTTTGTTTTTTATTTTATTTTTGGTCTAAACTCTACAGATATTAATTCTTAAAAAAATTGAGTGTGAATATGAAGCAAAATTGGTCAATTTTGCAGCACATTTTCGCTAAAAGTTTATTTCCTGAACAATATACATTTGCACCGTTGTCGTTGGTCCCGTATTAAATTTATTTTGTTTCCCATACTTCCTTAATTTCTTTGTATTTTCCTTGTTTTCTTCTAGTATGTTTTTGTTTGCCAAGTTGCTATAGAAAATTTATTTACCTTAATTTGGTTTTTTCCTTCTATCTTTATTTGGGGTCGGAAAATGCTACTTGGCTGTAAGGCCGAGAAGAAATGTGAAAAAATGTCTAAAAAAAGTACAGTGTTTTCTTTTTCGTTGCGGGTCTTCTGGGTTCCGGTTCTTTGCCATTCTCCCTGCTCCAGTCCATCTCCTTGAAGTTCTAAGTTTTTAGTTTTCCTCTTCGTCTTCTTATATTCTGTGAGAAGTCTTCCCCATTATAAGGCCCTTTAAAGGGATCATCATATGTTCTATTTTATTTCCTAGGAGTTCTAATCCATTTTGTAACGTATGGATGTTGAGATTTCGTAGATACAGAGCCAATTTTAATAAACTTATCGTAAAGTTCTTATACATAAAAGACCATTTTAGTACAAAAAAACCCGAATTTGGGGGTGGAAGATTGTCGTCGCTGTGAGGTTCACTACTCTACCGCTTGAGAAAATAAATTTAATCATCCTATTTATAACAAATTTTGTGTTTAGAATGTGGTAGAGCAATTAGGTTAGATTAATGTGTACCCAAACCAGCGGCTTCATAAAATCCATTAGGTTTAGGGTTGGTGTATTTCCTGATGTTTAGACTATTAAACTAAACATGATAAATACCAAAAATTTATATGACAATATTTGGGAATTTCTTATATATTTATTAATCTCCAAAGTGGAGTATATATAGGAGTTACAATTAGTATTACATATGTACTTCATCAATGTAGGACAACAGACTACTATTTACACTTTAACTATATATAACTCGTAAAATTCCCCCTCAAGTTGGAGCAAAGATGTCATGCATGCCCAACTTGTCAAGCGAGTTGGAAAACACACTATTAGACACAGTCTTAGTAAGTACATCAGCGAGTTGATCTTCAGATCTCACAAACGGAAACATAATAATTCCAGCATCCAAATTTTCCTTGATGAAATGTTGATCAATCTCCACATGTTTTGTTTGATTATGTTGCACTGGATTATGAGCAATCTCAATAGCAGCCTTGTTATCACAATGGAGTTTCATAGCACCATTGGGTTTAAATCCAAGATCTCTCAACAATTTTTTTAACCACAACAACTCACATACACCATGAGACATACCACGAAACTCAGCTTCAGCACTTGACCTAGCCACCATTTTTTGTTTCTACTTCTCCAAGTAACTAGATTACCACCCGCCAATCAGTGATAGAACTTGTCCAATCTGCATCTGTATACCCTTCGACATTCAAATGACCATTCTTGGAGAAAACCAAGCCTCTGCCAGGAGCCATCTTCAAGCACCTCAAAATACGGACTATTTCATCCATATGAGCTTCACTAGGTGAGTGCATAAACTGACTTACTACACTAACTGCATAAGCAATGTCAGGGCAAGTGTGAGACAAATAAATTAATTTCCCCACAAGCCTCTGATACCGTTCCTTATGAGTAGGAACTTGATTCGGAAATAAGCCCAGATGATGATTTTGCTCAATCAGAGTATCAATAAGTTTGCAATCTAACAGATTTGTTTCAACTAACAAATCAAGAACATACTTCTGTTGAGACAGAAAAATACCATGCTTGGATTGTGCAACCTCGATTCCAAGAAAATACTTCAATTCACCCAATTCTTTCATCTCAAATTCACTAGCTAGGTACTTTTTTAAGGCGTTGTATCTCCTTTTGATCATCACTAGTCACTAACATGTCATCAACATAAATAATCAATGCAGTTAGCTTACCATTTTGTGGCTTTAGAAACAATTTAGAAACAAAGTATGATTTGAATGACTCTGGACATACCCAAACTTCTTCATTGAACTTGTAAACCTCCAAAACCACACTCTAAGAGATTGTTTCAAACTATACAAAGCTTTTTGCAACTTGCATACAACACATTTTTCAGGAGATGTTCTAATACTAAGTGGGAGATCCATATAAATTTCCTCCTTGAGATCACCATGAAGGAAATCATTCTTAACATCAAACTGCAACAGAGGCCAATCCTGGTTTGCTACTAAGGACAGAAGAACACACACAGTATTAAGTTTGGCAACAAGAACAAAAATCTCCTGATAGTCCACCCTATAGGTTTGAGTATAATCCTTAGCAACTAATATGGCTTTATACCGGTCAATAGAACCATCTGCTTTGTGCTTAATAGTGAACACCTATCTACATCCAACAGCTTTCTTCCCATTTGGTAAATGAACCAAATCCCAAGTAGAATTCTTTTCCAAGGCTTCCATCTCAACTCTCATGGCATTAACCCACTTAGGGTCAGACAAGGCATCGTGCAATTTTGTTGGAATTGATACACTAGATAGCTGACATATGTAAGATGAAAATGGTTTGGACAAACGATGAGTAAACACATAATTGTTGATAGGATATTTGGATTTGGCATGCATATCAGGCTCATATTGTACCTTAGGTTTTCCACGATTAGCTCGTGGAGGCAACTAATAAATAGAAGAATCGTCAGAATTTAACTCATGTATGTCATTATCTTGTACCAAATTGTTAAAAGAATCATCACTGGATGAACCATCACTGAACTAACCATCATCAGGCAGCTCGTTAGACATACCAGAAGCAAGCAATCGGTCATCAGAAAGTAATTCGTCAGACATACTGACAAGCAACTCGTTGGGCACATCTAATCTGTCGTCAGTAAAAATAGTTTTAGGAATAATAGGTGACAGATCACTATCTATAACCGACTGATCAGTATCACGCAACATAATAGGTTCTATCCCCAACTCTGCCTGTAACACATCATCCATACCATCTCTTCAAATATGCACTTCACTCCCTTTTTTCCCCTGAAGTGGAGAGTCGGAAGATGGCTTCACAAAATACGAAACTTCCTCGTGGAAAGTGACATCCATGGTAATATAAGTTTTATGAGTCGGAGGATGATAACACTTATAGCCTTTCTGATTGTTAGCATACCTACTAAATACACATCGAAGAACACATGCATCAAGTTTACTCCGCTGATAAGAGTAGACATACACATACGCAATACACCCAAACACCTTCGGAGGAAGTTTTGATACAGAAACAAGATAAACATGCTTTTGTAACACATCAAGTGGTGTCTGAAAATCAAGAACCCTACTTAGAACACGATTTATCAAATATACAACAGCCAAAACAACATGACCCCATAAATGATTAGGAACACATTTATCCAACATCAATGAGTGAGCAA